CCCTCCCCCCGCACAGCAAGCAGGAGTTTTGGGGAGCAGCTCCAAGGCAGAGGGCAGGAGCAGCATATGGCAGTGGGGGGAGGGATAGCTGAACTGCCGGCAATTGATAGCCTGCTGGGCAGCTGCTCCACAGGGAACTTAGGGGAGCGGGGAGCTGATGGGGGGCTGCCAGTCCACCCTGGTTCCAAGCCCCCACCAGCTAGCTGCAACGGGCTGCTCTTCCTGCAAGCAGTGGACAAAGCAGGCGGCTGCCAAACGACATTAGAAGGGAGCATTGCACAACTTTAAACAAGCATGTTCCCTAATTGATCAGGAACGAAACAATGTTAACCGGGACAGCTTTAAGTGAGGAGTTACTGTATTTAAGTTACAGCTCCTAATGGAGTTGTAGTGAACAATTGATTGCTGGAGTATACATTCATGACCATTAATAAGACACGCATTCCTAACCAATTTTTAATGTCTGGGTAGTGTTCCAGTTACAGGGTCTCCTCCTCTTTCTCAGAGTGGAATCTTGTGATCCTTTCGCTCTTCTGTTGGGAACCAGGTATACTACCCCATGATCGCTTGGCTCTCTGCAGGCCTGAATGGGTTTTAGACATCTGTGTTTGTTCACTTCAGGAATCTGACACCCATGGTATTGACCCAACAGCTTTCTTAAAAATGTATTTAGCAGTTGGATCAAAGCATTAGAGAACAAATATTTTAAAGCAACAAACAGTTTATGTGCATATTTAGTCTTATCAGATGTTATGCTTCATTACAAGAAAAATTGTTACCCTCTTAAATTACAGTAACAGAAGTGACCCAACTCTCATTCTCCTTGAAGGCCAAGAAGTCACAGCTAACAGCATGCCCTGCTGTTCTTGATCTTTCCTTTTTCTTTCTGTGTTCCCCTCTCTCACACACAAATGGTGTTTAAGGAAGATCTCACTTTCGATGTAAGTGTCTGAGCTCAAATACTGTATTGCTCAATAGTGTCTGTTTTCAGGGTCCAATGTGTTTCCTCGTGCCTCAGACAGGTTTTTTTTCCAGTCAACCAGGGCACCTACAGTGCCTATCCAGGAGAATATATCTTTGATAGCTGCCCCATTGTTTGGGCAGTTGGACTCATTCAGACTCAGTAATCGCTGGATTTATGTCTCCCCTGTGGATGACAGTGTTGAAAACTATATGAGAATATGGGGTTCCTTCAGCCCCCTTTGTTAGTCTAGCATACAGTCTTAGAAGTCAAACACACAAATCCCATTTTAGACTCAAAGTATGTTATTAATGCAGGCAGGGTCATATTTCATGACAGTAAATCATTTTATTTTAACATTTCAAGTATAATCCTCTTGTAAATTAAGAATACAGATTACCATAATCCTATAGTTTGAGAGTCACACTGTTACAACTGGACAGTAAGTCACATGTAAATAGTATGCTGAATTAATGACTTTGCAGCTAATGCTCACTTTGAGTTATTTGCGTTATAAATAATTTCTTGCAGATTATTCAGAGTCTTTCATTTTCAAAAGAAGAGCCACGGTGAGCATAAAATAAGATGAATGTGGAAAGGGAAGTAGTATCTGCACATTGACAATGCAAAATTAGTAGTCATTTGATTCTTTACCGCAACAGCTCCTTAACTCTTAATTGTATTCAGAGAAAACACTACACCCCCAAAAAGTTGACTTTGATTAAAGTGACTTTTTTTTAGATTGCTGAAATATTTTTTAGCTTTTAAACTAGAACAATGCAAACATAA